CTCCAGCGAACAAGAATGGTCCGGCAATTATATTCAACAATTTATTCATTATACTTGTTTATGTTATTTGTTTAAAACTAGTAAATCATTAAGAATTACGCTTAGAAACCTCGCTCGGCAGAAGTAAAGTATAACTCTGCTAGTCTGTTGATGTCGCAGTTGACTCAGTTGTCTTGAAGTACACTCTAATTCAGCCCCTCCAAGCAAGATTTCAGATTCCGAATTTCTGGGGGAAACATAACATGGAGATACAAAAAGAGGTGTACGCCTTGTTAGTTGACTCGATGTGGGACACTGGCGGGCATTTCGCAAGGTCATGCTCAGGCCGGGGGACGGCAACACAATCGTGAGTTGTCGCGTCGCCGCGCTCGCTAGTCGTGCGGTCATGCGCGGCAATTACTCAATGCCCATCAGCTTCTTGACTGGGGCAGCGAAACTCATATGAATATAAGCAGAGGCAAGACTCCATGATGGGCAGTATCGAATTTTGCCACTCCTTTTACACTCATGAACAAATAGTATGGCGGAACAATCATCTGCCGGGCGCGGCATCGCGCGTCTTACCAGCGCGGGTGGCGCGCGTTTTACGGCACGGGAGGCGCGGAATTTTTTGTCTTTGTCTTATCACACACCCATGGAGGGCCACGCCAGCTGATCTTATAGAATGGCATTCATTCACACACTGATCCTCAAAACTTGAAGGAAAAGGGCTAAGCAAGCTACCTTTGAAGGAAAAGGGGCTAAGCAACTAGTGACTCTCGAACTTCTCAGATAATGTTGTAAAAGAAACAGTCTGGGACAGGGCACATCGTTGTTGGGGAATCGGCCAACTAGGGAAGGGCTTCGTAGTTTGGCAGCAGCAGAGGGGGTCGTCAATTTACTGAGAAATTTATTTTGGTAGTTGATTTTTCTCCTTCAACGACGTGGTGTGAGGGAACGAATGCGGGGGGGGATTCGTAACTTGGGCTCGGGCCGTTTGAGGGGGGCGGGTTTTGGGTATTCATGGTAGAGCTTTGCGATCTTTCTAGGAAAATGGCGGGAGAGGTGTTGGGACTGATTTCGTAATTTTCGCCTGTATCATCATGTGCTTTTCTTCCCCCCCCCCCCGGCCCTCCCGCTCCCCAGCCTCGGACGGCTGCCGATTCGATGAGGAGGGACAGAGGGCTGGAGGGGGGGGTCGTAGCCAACCCCAAAAATAAGGGTTGGAAATCGTAACGTAAATTCGACTAAAATCCCCAACCATTGGTGCGCCCTAGTCTGAGACATGGGCGGTAATGACTTGCCCAATTTGATGCCAAGAAGCCGTCACAAATCAACGAGGTAGGCTTCGCTAGGGTGGTCTGTGTTGCGGTGGCGCTGGCGCCTTCGAATGTTGGAACTAAGCGGCCTCGCAAACGTATGAATACACAAAGTACAAATGTGTTGTCAGGGGCGGATGCCGGGCCACCAGTTCGAATCCGTCATGAGTCAGTGGGCAGTACAAGCATCTCATAACAAACGGGCAAGGGTGCTAACGTATTTGGGGGGACCACGCGGCTCGCGGCAAGTGATGACTCATCGACTCTTCTGCTTCCTCCTCGGCAAAATAGAAGTAATTTTATATTTAGGACGAGGATATAACACCATCTTAGCTATATTCAATTGTTAAAATAGTCAACGCTGAAAAGTGTGAGGAAAAAATTGTAGGCTGGAAGGTTCTACTGCAAAAGATTGCTGCCTGCTTGTTGTTTACTGTTATTGTTGACTACGACAAATCAAACACTTGATTTCAGCTTCTGTGGGGTTTCTTAGCAAATTCCCGGTGTATCTTGTTTGTTTTATTTCCATTTGGCCGCTGAATGGCGCTTCAAGTATGCCTATTAGTGAAGAGCCGATGAGTCATCACTCGCCGCGAGCCGCGTGGTCCCCCCCAAATACGTTAGCACCCGGGCAAGTACTAAGCACAAGAGTGAAGAAGGTTAGAAAGTAAAGTACATGCGTTTGCACGCTTTTCTTTCCTCCATCGGGCGTGCACGACTTTGGACAGCTGGCAAAGTACGCTGCTTAGCTCAATGCTATTATGAGGGGTGACGCGTGCGCCGGCGTCACTGCGTCAATCAATCAGGGATTCTTCTCACGATCCGCTTTTGTTTCGGGTGTGTATTTAACGATGTTAATGAGTTATGCAGTGCCTGTTTTCGCTTAATGTTTCGAATAACTTGTGGTTGTTTATTGGGGTGGGACTGCTTTGTTAGTGATTAAGACGAATTTTGTTAGTAGCCACGATACGGGCACCCGCTCATGTCTCCTTCTTGAAAATGTTTCACCGTCCCAAACTACTATAGAGACATAAAAATACCGAAACCATTTGCAGTTGCTTCTTTCCTACAGCATTATACCAAGAATCTTCTTATCCCGAGTATTTGGAATCAAGTTACTGCTCTGGATGTACAGACCCTTGAAAGGGAACCACATATGATCAATGTTTCTCTTTGGTCTGTTCCTGAAAAGTGGCTTCGAATTTCATCGTGACTCTCCTTATTTTCATATTTCTTCGAGAGACACTCTATAACCAATTACTCAGACATTACCATACTATTATGGACCGTCTCAGGATACTTTACTTACTTACTTAGCTTTTTAGGCTCTGTCAACCGCGAAACCTCCCTCCTCCTCTTTTTCCCTCCTTCCTTCTTTTCCTTCCCTCTTCCTTCTTATCTCTCATCTGCTAGACCAGTAGATACGATAAAAAAATACCTTTGGACCCTCACGCGCAGAGCATTAGCGAAGACATTGGTAGACTGTCTTGCTTTTTCTATATTACCTACCGAATCCTCGATATTTACAGATACGTGCGAAGTTTGAAGTTTCGTCGCCACATGCGAGAAACGAGGACAGCGTCTTCGCGCAGGATTACAAGGTTCGTGATTGCTGTAGAAATTCATCTAATGGAACTGAAAAAGAAGAGAAGTCCCCAAAACGGGTCTTTGACAAGACAATCATATCACGCCGCGGTGGTGGGCGTGGTGAGCGCCTCCGCTCATGACGGACGTTTTGTCCTTCCTGCCTATTCCAGTACCTGGGAAGGAAAATTCTATATGCTCCATAATGAAGTATTGTATACGCTTGAACTGATACGAGTTTTGCTACTTCAATCGAGCAGTTGTACATGTCGTGAATTATTCGCCGCGCATCGCCGCACGCTGCGCCGAGCACGCCAAACGCAAAACACGATTGTCTTGTCCTCCTTCTTGTCCTCCCCCCTCAAAAACATGTGCCGCTTGGTCATCACGATCTGTTAGTGCTTTTTATGATTAGCAATTTGGCATCTATAGAATATACTCTTTCAAGCTGAGAATATCAGTTCAGTTGTTTTATGTGGACAAACATATGAGAATGCCCAATTCACATTGTTGTCTGATGTCCTTTTAGGGCAGGGTAAGCACCGCCACTGCATACAAGGCGTTTTACTGATCAATAACATGCACCGATACGGTAGGTGAAGGGACTCATACGGCAATGGCGAGCCCTAGATAATGTCATACGCATGCGAGGCCTAATATTCAACCGGGGAAATGCAGAATTAGCAGAATTCGAGCAGTGGATTTGCATGAATCAATTTCATCAATTCCCTTAGGTGTTATTCATAGTGTGGAACCTCAGTAAAATCGGCGTATTTCGCCAAAACGTTTCAGTACGTATCGGTAGAGGGAACCGTCGGAGCTTGCGGGCGAAGCTTTCGATTTTTCGAAACTATTCCTGGTAATGGAGAGAACACAGTGCTCCACCTTGAAAAGAAATATTCGTCACAGTTATTCTTTTCGCGCTAGTTGCTAGGCTTGACAATTTTGTCGGCTCGAAATATTCATCATTGTGAACATTTCTTTCAGGAGCTCAAAACCCTCAACGTCTTCAGAGTCTGAAAATCCAGTTTCAACCTTAAGTGATGCTACGTCACCACGGAGTTATAGGTATGTGTTTCTTTATTCGTTCTAGGTTTCCACTAGAAAAATTAGGCTGTCATGGCGTGCTAAATTATCCCATT